GAATTAAAATTAATACTGACAGAGAGGATAATTAACATGGCTTATTTTATTTAATCAAACAACCCGCGTAATATTTACAATATAGCAAAGTTTCTCTAATTTAAAATATGCTAATAATTTGTCAGACAAATGATGCTAAAAAATGAAAAGTTAAATTCATCTTGGATCGGGAAAGAAAAATAACTAAATATTCCATTCAGCAGATGTAAAAAGAAAGACAAAACCACGCTTCATTCTCCTTTGAAAATCATTGGTTTAAAATCCATAGAAATGAAAAAAGGGATTGCTGAAATAATAAAAAAGATCCAGTAGTGAATCTTGAGAAATACAACGTCCTAGTAATTTTTAATTTTTATTCAGGTTTGCTATCCAACCCTTCAATACGTTAACCATTGTGACATTATAAAGCTTTCATAAAAACGGCTGACATTTGCATTTGATACGATACAGTCCTTTATGAGATCACTGATTCACTGATACACATCTGCTCTATCAGAAGTTATTCATGAGATTAAAACCTCGTCCTACGTGATAAACAAATGTATAGCAAAAGAACGACGAGACTAACGCAGTGCGGAAACAGAAAATTAATTAGATCTTGGAAGCATTAATGAAACAGTTTCTTCATTACCAATTTGCTTCAAATTTATCAGTAAAAATTAAAACAAAATATTGAGGCAAAAAAGTTCATTATGCAAAAGTAAAGACTTAACCTGCAGCACAATGCAAAAGTCACTGAACGATACCAACATACGCTAATGTATAAAATAATGGAATGATTTAAATAAAATTCCAACTTTGTATGATTTAACAGAGACGAGATCACCACAGGCAGTGAGTACCAAATAGCCATATAAATGGTATATCGTGGGAATGGGGGACACACAGCCACGGTATCACTTCCTCTTCCTCTCTTCGGCCATTACAATGGAAAAGCATAAACAGCTGTGTTCTATTTACTGCTATACGTGTCTATGTGTATATCTGTATGCCTGTATGTGTATGTATGCATATGCATGTGTGTATGTGTATGTGTGCATATGCATGTGTGTATGTGTATATGTTTATGTGTGTATACATGTGTGTGTATGTATGTACGTATTGTGTGCATGTGTGTGTATGTATGGTGTGCATGTGTGTGTGTATGTATGGTATGTATGTGTGGTATGTGTGGTGTGTATGTGTGGTGTGT